ATTTTAACTATTTTTTGAATATTTTATAAATTAATAATACTTTATTATATTTATAATATTTATTCTGCTTTAAAAGTTTTTGTTTCACAAACTTTAAATTTTGTTATTATTTTTGATTATATAATTTTGATATCTTCATTATATATTTTATATATTTTATAAAAATTATCACCTAAATATTTTTATAAATAAATTTAATTAGTATATTTTATATAATAATAAATTAATATTCAAAAATTTTGAGTTAAAACTATTATTGATTTTTTATATAAATTTTAAAGTTATACTTTTAATAATTATTATAATAATTATTATAATAATTATTTAATAATAATATTAATTTAATTTTTATTATTATTGTTTTTTAATAAAAATATTTTGTATTATATTTTATAGTTATTTTTAAATTTTAGTATTTTGAGTTATTTAAAATTTAATAATTACTAGTAATTTATTAATAAATTTTAAACTTAAATTTTTTAAGCTTGAAATTAACTAAAGTGTTTTGATTTTTATTAATTAAAAAATATAATAATAACTATTTTATTATTTTATCTAATTAATTTTTCGATTCTTATATTATCAGAAATAAATTTAGTTATTTATTAAAATAATTATACAATTTGATATAAATATATATTATAATATATATTAAAATAATAATAAAATTATTTTATTAATTAAAAATAAGTTATTTAAATTTTGGTAAAAAATTCTTTTATTTATAAAAAATTATCTAAATAATTAAATATAATAAAATAAAGATATATATTTATATTTTTTAAATATTATAAATTTAATATTAAAATTATTATAATAAATATTAATATAAATTTTTATAATTATATTTAGAATTATTATATAGTAACTAATAAATTTATTAAATTATATATATATTTATATTAATAAAATATAGTAAAATTAAAATTTTGTCTTATATAAATATTTTTAATTTTATTAATATTTTTTATTTTTATATTAAAATAAAAATTACAAGTTATATTTTAATATATTTTTTTGGATTTTTTAGATTTTTTTAATAAAGCTATTATAATTACAAAATTATTACAAAAATTTTTTCTAATTATATATAAAATTATTTATAAAAAATTTTTGCAATAACTTTGTAATTAGAACAATTTTATTTATAAAATTAAAATATTTATTAATAAAATTAAAATCTTTTAATTAAAATAAAAATTTTAATTTTTACTATATTTTATTAATAAATTATATTTATAATTCCATAATTCTATTAGTTACTATATAATAATAATATAATTTTTTAAATTCAAAAAATAATCAAATACAAAATTATTTAAAAATAAATTAAAAAATAAATATAATAAAAATAATTTAATAGATAATTTTTATATTATTTTATTTTAATATTTTATTTTATATTTTATATTTTATCTTTATATTTATTAGTTTATTTTTTTTATATTTTTAATTTGATATTTATTTTATTATTTTACTTTTTTTATCTTGTTATTTTATTTTTTTATTTTTTTCTATTTAAAATATAAATTATATTTTAATATATTTTTAGTAAATTTTTAATAATAAATTATTTTTGTAATAAAATATATAATAAATATTCTTTTTTAAATATATTAATTTGATTATAATTATTTTGAAATTTAAATATTCTAATTACAAATTTAAATTTTATTATTAATAAAATTTATTTTTTGTTTTTATACTTATAATTTTTAACAAAAGTAATTGCAAATATGTTTTGTAAATCTTAATGAAAAATTATACAAAATTGTAAAAATTTGTAAATATTTTCTTTAAATATTAGAAACAAGATTTTTTAATATATAAATCTATATTAATATAATACTATATTGCAGAATTTAATATTAACAGTAAAAATTAAAATTTTTAAAATTTAAATAAAAATAAAAATTAATAAAAACTATTTTTAATAAATGAGTTTCAAAAAAACTGTATTTTTAATATATATTAGTAATTTAAAAATATTTTTTTAAATTATTTTTTAATAAATATTATTCAAAAAAGCTATTATTTTAATAAATTTTTTAATAAAATATAATAATATATAGTAAAAATGAGAGTATTACTATAGTTTATTAAAAAATCCATAAAATAATATCTTTTATTAAATAAAAATAATCTAAATAATTTTTTAAATTAAAAAATATTTTATATATCATAAAATATATTTTCATAAAATATATTTTCATAAAATTCTTTTCAAAATTGCTTATTAAATAATTTTTATTCCTAAATAAATGTTATAAATTTCAATTCGTCACTTTTGACACCAATATTATTATGTTAACATGCTTTGTGATATTAAGAAATCTTGTTTCTAATAGTCTATTACAAATTTTTGAATTATTTTTCATTAAGATATTGAGAAAAAACACATTCGCTATTACTTTCGCCGGGGAGACTGTAGCAATAATAGAAAAAATAGTTTTTTATATCTTATTTTTTATGTGTAAAAAATTCAAAATGAATATATGCATTAAGAAATTTAAAAATGTCAAGATCATTGAAGTTCACTTATTGATTTAATTTAAAGAATCCAAATTCAGATCTTTAATTATAAAATCTAGTAATTTAATGAACAATAATTCTTTGATTATAATGTATAAAGAATCTGAAATTAAAGTTCTATTTAATAAGAAATAATTTTCAAATATTATTTTGGCACTCAGGACCGCTTCCAAAAATTGGACCATAATGTGTATGACATGCCACACTCCGTTCTTTTAAATATTTGCTTAGAACTCTATTGGTGGTTTGAACATCATAAGAGTCAAATTTAAATAAATAGCTATTTAAATCTGAGTAGATTTGTTAAGTGAATTCCATTCAAATGGATAATAGTCATCAATGATCTTTTCCTCACAACTGTTGGGCCTCTATTATAACAAAGACGATGAAAGTCGGCAATCTTGAATCCATCACGACCACCTCGTAGTAACAGCTTCAATTCAATTGATTTATTTTCTGAATACTACCTTGTTCTTTAATCCAGTCAATTATCTTAGAGGCCTCTAAAGAATTGTCGATAGTTGTGAGTTTGCGAATTGTGTGTAAGGAAGCCTTATGCTCTTCACTTCCTGGCACCAAATAATGATGCAATAAATCTTTATGAAGTGTTCCTGGCAAACTTTCAGCATATGGCATAACTTTGTTATAAAAATCAACCGAATTGATGTGAAAGAAACGAATTAATGGTAAACAATTTTCGAGCATGCACTTGAGTTGGTTAAATTCGTTATGTGTCCATTTTTCCGCTGGAATCGTCAAATCAATTTCGCCATCATCTGTAGTTTGAGAGATGCCCATTCGAGCACCTTTTCCCAAAGATCGATTTCATTCAAATTTAGATCATCACGTTTGAGTAAACAAACTAGAACTGATTCATGAGCTCGGTGCGGTGAAATCGGTTGACTGGAAAATGACAATTAGATTTTTCCATGTGATATCTGTGCAAAATTGGTGAAGTTTGGTAAAAGAGTTATGCTCGAACGCAATTTGATTGATTAAGGAAAAACTTCTGTTAAAAATTCCAAGTGGTATTCGACAAGATAGATTTGGATGTATTCAATCAACTCCTCAAGAATTAACTCATCGGCTGCAACTAATAAATCCAAAAGTGTCGAAACACCATGTTTTGGTAAATTGATTTTCCACTATAAATATATCTATTGAAATTTTAACCAGACAAATTTTCATTATTACTTTTATTTCGTAGTATCGCTTCATTTTTAACATGAAATACCTTAGCAATATTTAAAACTCGAGGTTCGATATTCGGCTCTCGCTTCATCCATGCATCAGAAAGTGCTACCACCACTAATATTGCCGAGTGGGCTGAAAAAGTAAGTTGAGTATTCTGATTTTCACCAACAATAATAATCGAAATATCATAATAGTTGGAATTTTGATAGAACTTATCGAGTCTGTTTAAGTGTGGTGTGAAGTTAATAACAATCGATCAAAAGTCAAGTTCTTAAGTTATCGTTATCGCTATGAACAACCCTAATATGGAATAGTATAGCACCATACTTTTGTTAATTCAAATAACGATAAGTTTCACGCGTTTTTGCATTTAATATTGTTATATTATCTCTAGTTGTGAATACGTGCACGAATTTGTAATGCACGTTAATTGTTGCATTGTGTGTGTTTCTCTTTCGTCTAATTAGATCACAACAGAAAACGCTTGATTGCTAGAAATTTATTTTGGATCCCTATTATAGTACATGTACAATCTCCTTAATTTAAAGGATGATCTTAAGAGGAGAATTTGACAATACTAAAATAGCATCGATAGTTTAATATAAAAGTTTTAAAGGTAATAAAGTTTTTTTTGTGCAATCTCCTTTTAGATTAGAATGTTTTATTTATATCAGAAAATTTTAATTTTGCGATTGTTTCATTCAGTGACAATTTGATCTGAATCAGCTTGCAACTTGAATAAAATACGTAGTAGTTTATTTGATAAACGCAAGATAGCGATAGCAGAAAATTTAATCAGAAGATATTTTGAATTATTATTTATAAGGTACAGGAACTTTTAAATAGACAATATGTTTCTAGTTAAAAATTCTATCAATTTCTTAACTAAGAAGTAAATACAAAATTTAACCAGTAATATTATACAAAAGGACTTTCTTCCGATTAATTTTGGATTTACTTCTTAGGTAAGAAGTTGAAAGAATTTTTAACATGAAACATATTGTTGGTTTAAGAGTTCTTGTACCATAAAAGGCTCTAATGTTTAAAAATCAGATATATAATGTTATCGCATATTACTCCTTGTCATTAGCACGACTTTCTGACAATTCTCTTTTATCATTTAACATTCTGAATAAATACTTAATAAAATATTCTTGCTATCTATTTATTTATGAGCTTTTACAAAAATTATTACATCATGTTTTTGTCCATTTTTTGAAAAAATTCTGGAAGGATCTTTGTTTTTTTTTTAAAACCTGCTTTTACCAAAACTTTCATATTTTATCATTTTCTACAACTACAATTCGCATATTAGTGTATTCGGATGCAAGCCAATACCCGATTTCATATGAATCTGCCAATAAGTTCTTATCATCATTAATTTTATTGAGCAGAATGTCATTTTCTAAAGGTACTCTTGATGGCATCAAACAAATTGATCTGATAAACTGTCCTTGAGAGTTACGTATTGCCCAATTAAAACATTTACCACTTATTTTTGCTTTATTCTTGCAACAATGAACCATGAGACATTATCTAATGTGTATATATTAGGCAGTACTGATGTCGATTTATAGATTTCTATAGCTCCGTGATTCTCGGAACATAAACAGTTGTATATAGCATGCTTATCGTTTTCTTTTATTAACGAAAGACAATAATAAATATTACTATCGATATTGATATCCAAAGAGGAATTAGTTGTGATTTTCAATTTTATTGGAAGATAGTATGGACCTGAGCAGGGCATACTTTCGTTTTCGTCACTGTTCATATTTAAGAATCAGTAAAGTCTAAATATCTGATCTGATATGTCTTTATATATTTTTGAGATTTATTTACAATCAATTACATGCAATCGTAATGAATCTAAAAAAGAATTCATATTTCATGTAAATTTAACTTTGAACTTTAAATGGCAATTGGTATTAAGACTAAAATAGTTTATTTTATTAAATGCCACAATTTATACGTAGAGATGAGTCATGTACTGCTGGGTGTCACACCAAATAATAAAAATACATGTACTGTATATATAAAAATAAGAAAATACTGTATCAGAAGACTCAACCACTCATTATCACAAAAACTTGTGGAATCCCCAATCTGTATTGATAGTATACGTATCACTGAAATGCTCTATGATCATCTGTTTTATTTAGTGTTAACAAGGTAATTAAAAGCTAAACTGATTCTATATACAGAAATATGTAAATGTTTTATTCACATTTTTTTTGGTTCAATCATAATGATGACTAAACTAAATACTCCAATTGCATCTCTACCCTCTTTTATTTCAAATACCATCTGAATGCTTTTTTTCATCTGTTTGTGTTCTGATTCAATTTTTATAACATTAACGAAGATTATGATATAGAAAACTAGTACATACTAAAGTCCGCTTCAACGAAGGACTGGTTGAGTGAAGATTGATAAAGAAGTAAAATTTTGGTGCATCATAAGAACGCTCAATTTAATGAAATGCTATAAATAATCTATTTTTTGTAATGGTGCACTTCACTAAACTTGACTTTATTTGCATGCATATTGGCTTACTACCAGTTTTTACATAAAAACGCGTATTTCTTAATTAACTCTCGTGCATTGAGCAATGATATTTAATATGTGCCATGTTGACTTTCAACACTTTGAGTATAAGGAATCAGTATGTAGAGAGATTTTATAGAGTAAACTAGATTTTTGTCTTGGTTAATCAGTATCAAAAAATTACTAATTGAAAATTGTGTAGATCACTTAATTTTTATATTTGTTAGATTTCCAGATTTAATTCAGAGTTACTAGATTTTTTCATAAAATTTATTCAAATAAACGCGATAATTTTTCCCAAGTAACACGGTGAATTTATTCATTTGTTGGTTACAAAATTTAGCGACAAAATAATAGAACTTAAAGAAAAAAATTTCTGCTTTATTAAATAAAGATAATATTTTCGTGCACATGCTGTTTGTCACTGTGTGGTGCGTAACATCTAAAATCATCAAACGTTTATATTATATAAAATGTATTAACTTCTCAACTAAGAAGTAAATACAAAATTTAATCTGTAAATATGGTAGAATAAACCTTTCTCTGCCATATGTACAGATTAAATTTTGACTTTACTTCTTAGTTGAGAAGTTTATACATTTTATATAATATAAACGTTTGATGATTTTAGATGTTATGCACCATATAACTAGCAAGATTCCCAATTATTAGCAGTAGTCCAATAGAATCCACAAACTGAAACTAAACTGAAACTGAAAAAAACCAAAATTTATAAAATTCTCGTAGATAGATGTTTTTCAGTTTATAGTTCCTTTCAATCTAATCCGAATTACATACGTAAAGCACGTAACCTATTCAACAATACCGATATGAGATACTTATCTTTCAATAGATGGCTGGCTACCAGAAAATTTTTCTATTACATATTTTAGAAGTGCTTACTGCATAATCATCAGTGAAAGTTTTTCTTCGATATATTTTAGCTTATTTAACCAACAAAATTGAAAGCTAAAAATAAAATATTGTCGTGTTTAAAGCTTACCTAGCGTCACCCTAAAAAATGGTAGCCGGATATATCTTTGATCAATGAGGTAGCGTAAATTTTTGATCTTTCGGCAAAACAAATCCGACACAAGGAAATGAAAAATTGAAGTACTAATAAAAAAAATGTAAAGAATACAGTTTTCCTTATAATCTTAGTTCTAACTCTATCTAAACCCTAACACTAATCCATCCAAATCAGAATTGAGTTTCCCGGCAAATATATCCGGCTACCATTTTTTCGGTGACACTAGATAAGCTGTTGACATTCTTCTAAGCTAAAATTTTTAATAACGATAAATCTATTTCTTCTAAATATAGAAAGTACATGTAATACTTAACCATGATTAACCTCTTGAAAAGAATGATCAATCGTTAAAGCCTAACCAGTTATAATTACTATCCACGACGCTGAGTTGGATGGTGATTATCAGTTAATGAAATCTTTGGGGTTATTAGAAGATAAATATCCACACTGGCGAGTTATATAATGATGATAGTGGAGATTTGACGATGATTTGTATGATAATAAAAGAATAATGACTGTAATAAAGAATAGGTTTTCAGCCTTCTGATAAATGAGATTATAATGCCCATAGGTATTTTTATTCAGATTCAGATGATCTGTCATCACAACATTATCAGCCTAAAAATCGTTATTTCTCGTTCAATATTAATTAAAATTAAACGAAATTTGTGGATAGACACAAAATACAAATTTCTTGGTAAAAATAAATGATATTAACGAAAAATATTTTACGATTTTCGGACCAAACCCGACCCGAACAGAGCTTTAAATGTTCCTATATAAAATAAGTGATCAATACTAACTAGGACGTAATTTATTTTTTTTTTCAAATTATAATTAGGAACAAAATGATTCACAGTTAATGTTGGGCAACTGGACTTATAATATATCGCGTCTAAAGTACGTAACTGTTTTATTTTATTTCATGTTATTCTTGCTAATGGTGACTGAACAAAGTATGATTCTATTAATATGTTATGTAAACAATGCTCAATAAGAAATAAATTATAATTCATGAATTAAGATCTTTCATTATACTTCGTGTCATTCCTTTATAAAGTATCGTATAATTTTGGCCGTCCTTTGTAATCCATTCTTAGTTCTTAATGTTAAGTAGTCAGTGTTCGATTTTATGCAAATCGCACCATTACACAATCATGGAGAATTTCCGTATGAGTACGTACAATTGTACAAGTACATGTATTATTACATGTATAAGTTTGACTTTTATTTGCGAAGCCTTAGAGAACTCGTGGTGCAGAATAGAATAATACATGTACATGTAAAAATATTGGCATTTTACCTTAGTGGTTGGCTTCGAATAAATAATTTCTTCACAATATCTGAATATTTTTTCATTCATGAATATTCAAATAAAACTTATTCGAATTCAACTACTTTGCCTCGATATGATATATACAGCGCAGTGATCAAGTTGGTGTCAACCCTACAATCCTGAAACCAACCAAACCCTTTGTAGATTAAATTGGGCGAAACTAGTTTCGTCCGAAACACCACTCGGCTCCTAGCTTGTTGATCGTTAAGTTTACTATTGTTATAATATGGGGTCAATAGAAACCAAGTAAATTATATATGTATTACATATAATTTACCTGGTTTCTATTGACTCACCCCCATATTTTCGAATTTTTCTGCGAAGTAATACCAGCACTGAATTTCTTCCTGATAGAGTTATCATCAATTCAAACGTTGTTGAAACTAATGAATTAACAAAGGACTAATCAATAAAAGAACAAAGACTGAATAATTTATGATTAATGGGGTTCACTAAAGATTCTAAAGATCTCTTGTGGTATCTTGTATTCAAACTAACTTAATATCAAAGATAAAAATTGAGACAAGTGGAATGGTTAAATAAAGAATAAGAGAAACTAAAATAAAAGTGGAATAACTACTAAAGAAATAACCGGGTTTATTGAGATTGTCTAATGAATAAAATAATAATTGGATTTATTAAGACTGCTAATAAAATAAATAAAACAAAATTACTATATTAATATAAAAATAAAAGAAATAGAACTTATTAACATGATCTAAAAAGAATAAAATTAAAATAATAAAGTTAATGGCTTATTTAAAGTAAAGAAATATCCATTACTTGTAGTCAAGATTTGAAGATAATCACAAAAATAATAGTAAATTCACAAGTATAATATTAAAGTAAGAATTTTGTTATTTTTATTAGATTAAAATATGAGTTTTTAGTGATAAAAACTCTTCTTTTATATATAGTTCAAGTAATTTATAATTAACAATTTGTTTCAATTTTTAAAATCTTATAACTCAATATAAAGACAAAATTTTCAAAATTTGACCAGTAAATTTATTTTTCATGATAAGTTCTATAAAGTTACCAGTTAAATTTTGAAAATTTTGTTTCTATATTGAGTTAAAAAATTTTAAAAATTGAAACAAATTGTTAAATATAGATTATTTAAATTATATTTTTAATAATTATTGCAATTTATATGACTAATAATTATTTTGAATTATATCACTATTTATAGATAATATTAAATAATACTAAAGAAGAATAAAAACTAAAAATTAAATAAAATATTTATATGATAATAGAAAAAAATACAAGAGAAAATTTATAAAAAAATTAGTAATTAGAAATAAGAAAAATTGATATTGTAATAAAAAAGATTTAAAGAAAGAAAATTAATAACACAAAATTAATTATAAAAAAAATTAATAAAGAAAAATAAAAACAAAAATGATAATAAAAATAAAAGCAAAAATAAAAATAAAAAATAAATAAATATAAATATAATTGAATAAATATAATAAAATAAAATATAAAATATATTAATAAAAAAATTATTAATTTTTAAATAGAAAGTATAAATAAAAATAAAAAATAAATAAAAAATATATAAAAATATAATTTGTTAATAACTATTAAAAAAAGAAAAAATTAATAAGATTATTA